TCAATCGTGCTGCGCCGAACAGCTTGATAGAAAAATTACAAATAAGCGAAAAAGCACATGAGCTTCTTAGAAAGCAGACACCAAGTAGTTGATAGAATGATTGGTGGACTATCCGATATCTTGCAATTGCTTAGAAATTCCCCCTAGTTCTTTCCACATATAATTCCTGGCACTGAGTGCAATGATTTATGAAGTGGAACTTCCAGAGATCGCAAAGGCGTTTCAGACAACGCAGGCCTCAGGCCCCGAAAATAGGCCACTGAGTAAGGTTACCTGCCATAAACACTGCGTAACCATGAGGAAATCACTGCACAATACAAAACTCCGACTGACATAACTGTTTTTCTCGTTCCAGGGCAAGAACTAAGCTTACTTCTAGATATAACTAAGACTGTATGCATCAGAGATAAACAGATGGAACCGAAAAAGGAACCCTGAAAAGAAGCTGTCAGTATTTTCGACGTTATTCGATAACCAACTGCACGACTTTTCGGCCAACTACTAAGATTGGAGCTCTGGTATCGCTATTGAAACCAGCAAGAAATACGAGAAAAAGCTGCAACATAAACCTCCATGACGTAATAACTTCTCACAGTTATTCCGTGTAAGTATTTACTCGCACAAAAAGCATAAGCAGTGTGATGCTCGACTGGTCTAACTTCGCCAATCAAGACAGATGTTTGCTGAAACCTCGAGCGCCATTCAAAGTGCTCCCTTGTCTATCAAGAAATCTAGATTAAAATCAGAGTAAACGACAAAGAGCATGATTTCTTTAATCGCATACGACGTCAGTCATGACGATTAATGCAATCTAATTGGGTCAATGAACAGTTAAAAGGAGTTGGAGAGGGAACACACGGTTGTCAGACACCGCCAATGACGACGATGCTTTCGCTTCCTTCTCCGCATATTGAAACTTCGATTTCTGTGGATTTACACAGTGTCTCTAGCCAATTCATAAGTTTCGGGGACAAATCATCGGTGAGTGGCTTTCCACGCCTGCACTGG